TGTTCCTTCGCCATGCGCTCGGCACATTGAAGTGAAAGTTGCGGGTCCTTCGGATAAGACCTTAAAAACCGAGGCCCCGTGTCAGCGACAGGCGTTGGCACGATAAAGATCCCTCACTGCTCAATGGCCCTGAGTGCCGAGTAAAGGTCAAAATTTGAAGCCCTTCACCGGCATACGGTGACGTCTCCATATGAGTGGAAAAATCTCGAGAGGGACGTTAAACAATATACAATCAATCAATCATTGTATATGTATAGACCAAAGACTTCTGACGAGACATTTTTTAGTATTTTTGTTTCATTAATTGTTTGTCATATCTTGTCTCTTTTTTCAAAATGTTTCGTACGTGGAATAATTTATCTTATGTACATTGTATTCAGTCAAAATAGAGACTTGAAACCACAAAATGCAGGTAATAAGGGTATATTGCTACATAAGTAAGGAAAATTGACGAAGAAAGAGTAAGTTTATCAAAAAACTTTGTTGTTAGACGAATGCGAGGGGTTACCGAAAATTCGTTGACTGATGAGATGTCATTAATAATGTGTCGTATTTTTTAAAACAAAATTGATGAAGATCACAAAACAACAAATTTTCAGAAATGCTGAATTTAAGTATTATTTTGATACGTTGGTGGTTTGCAAGATAATTTTAAAATAAAAAAAAAATTATATGATAGACCGGTGCTGACATTGAATAGTTTTATGTCGTTCGACATTGTCGTTGTTTTTTAACGTCATCCCCATCTACATGTGTCTCATACATGTATTTTAATGAGATTCGTTGGAGTTAGGTAAGGACCTAATTCAGCCAGTTCATACGACCTTCAATGGCATTAACAGCTGCTTTAATGCATATCATATTGAGAAGGGATCTATTTGTGTTAATCACATTCCTAAATTAACAGGATTTTTCTCTGTTACACTTAGATAGGAAGAATCTGCTTCATAAGAGGTTGCTCAACCCGGGATCATGAAGCATCTTAAGCTTAGGTCAAAATCCTTCTGTTGTGCAAATATGTTGTAGAAGTCAAACAGGCCAAAATCAAATTATTTTTCAATACTACTCTACAAAAGTGGTGCTATCTGCAAAATTAGAGATCAATTCAATAAATAATAAATATCTTGCACAATTAAAATTTGACTTAAGTTTAAGTTTGTTTTATGATCCTGGGGCTTGAACATTAAAAAAAAATAAAATGAAAATGAATAGACTGTGCTTTGTTTATATACAAAATTCATTAAAGCACATGTAACAGTAAACGACTGTTTATTCATAAACTAGTCTATTAATTGGTTGAAAACAGAGTATAAAGATTTAATTAATATTAAATAATTTAAATGAATACTAAATGAACTAATTTTATTTTAACTGTTCAGATTTTCTCTAAGATCAGAATTTGTAGTGAGATTAATTGTGATGATGGGCAGAAGATTTTGTATATCATTCAATGAAATGAACAGAGAGAAAAGATGGCTCGGACAATTGCTGGAGCATTATCAAGTTAATATTTTGTTTTAATTATTGACATTTCTTGTTTAAAAAATAAAAGTCTGAAATATTACTACTAAAATCTGAGAACTCATAGATTAATATGTGTAATTTTGTACATGTAAAGTGGAAGAAGAGTTGAAAATCTACACTTATTTTTAGTGATTGTACTATAAACAGGTGATAATCAAATGGATGGCATTAATCACAATTATAAGGAGAAGAAAATGCAGTCTATGAGACTGAATGGAACAATTGCTGGAGCATTGTAAGGTAAATTTAAATAAAATTTGAATTAATTAAAACTGAAATTAATGTATAGTATAAATATGAAATAAAGCTACTAGATTTATCTGAAAATTTACTTCACTTGTTATTTTGTTAAAAAAATTATAAGTCAAGTTCAAACCTACACTCATTTCATATCAAATCCAGGAAATGACAAATATGCAGGGCCAAGCATTTCTTGGAGTGGAATTTACCTCCAGGAGATGACTGTACAGCTTAATGAATCAACTTCAGGTACAGTTTGTATATAATTTGTTCATCACCTTTATGATTCTTTGTTGCCATGTCACGCATTTCAATGTTTTTACCATTTTAATTTATAGAAAAGTCTGATTTCTGTAAATATCTCGGGTACATCACGAAGTCTAAAAACACTTTATTTCGAAGCCCGGTAGGTGTATCCGAATCGAAAGATGTGTAGAGTTTTTCTAAGTTCTCTTTTAACAATGGGTCTTTATGCATCACCGCCGACTTTCCCTCTCGCTTTAGTTTGGCTAACATTGCTGAAAAAAAATTGTTTGCTGCTTTCAAATCCGGAGAATTAGCAATATCGACTCCAAGTTTTTTCTCAAAATGTTTTGCAGACCATTACAAATGGACAGGTAGGACTTTTTGGAATAGAGCTCCCCTTTCTGGGTTCTGACTGCTACATAAAATATTCGTAGCAAATCATTCAAATCGTTGTTTGTTGCACATGTAACCGCCAGATCTAAATTGTTCAGTAAAACAGTCTTTCAATACCTTCAGCGCTCCTTTTATTACATTCTTTGTACATACAGAGTCTTTTTTTTTCTACAACTTCAAGCAAATTGTCTTCACTTACATCACTAAACCTTGCCTGAGTTGCCATACCGAAAGTAAAAATGTCGCTTCAATATCACGACCACGCTTTAAACAGGCCACAGTTCATTATGTGGCCCGGTCAAAAGTTCGATATTTCATAATTAAGCAAAAACATAAAATGAATCGTGAAACAGTTCAAAAAGTCTCATAATAATTTATTTAGTAGGTTAGGCAATAATTTTAAATGTAACAGGACAGAAGTCCTTAAAAACCCTTCGTACAAAATAGATCTGCTCATTTAATTTATATGTTAATAATAATTACGGAAGAATTCATTATCCCTGAGTATTCCGACAGATTGTTTCAAGACCAGTTTTAAGTTTTAATGAAGGACGTAAATTTTGACGTAGACGTTAACGTAGACTTTGCGACTGAAGTTAGGTGTGCAGGGATGATGCTACATCTTAAGGTTAAGTCAAAATATTTATATTGTATTAAAATGTTGTCGAAGTCAGGTAAACACAAATTAAAACATTTTTCAATATTGCAAGCAAGTGCTTAACTTAAAATTTGAGACTGATCAATAATAAATAATAAATAAGCATTTGACAACTGATTGAAAATCCGACTTAAGTTTAAATCCGTTTCATAATACCAGGGCCTTGTCTCCGAAAAGTACATGGACTGTTCTCTAGCATTTGCATCTTTTTAATAACACCTTCAGCATACTTGGAATTACAATCAGAATTTTCGTTTTGTTTTTGTTTTTTTTCAATGTTGCAATTGACCACAATTAAAAGAAAAGTAAATTTACAATTTTTTTTTCTTTTTTAAGTAGTTGTTTAGAAATCCAGAAGAGGTATGTAATTCAAAAAGAAATTTTAGTGTAGTGAATGTTACATGTAAGTATTTGAAACTGTAACATGATTTTTAAGGAGGGACAGGACCTTTCGCTGAAAAAATTCCTGTCAATGATTTTTTTTTTCGTATTTTTTATATTTACTAATTTGATATGTACTAAACATTTTAAAACGGTCCTGTCGTGGGATTTCTTGACTTATTTAAAAGATATCGACCCACAAATACCGCCCTGTTTAGAGTTTGTATGGCGTTTAGATACTTCATGTTTACGGGCCCATGAGAGAGTCGATAATGCGAATTTTTACGCACAAACGATAAATATAATAGATAACACTATATACTCAAATATTTCAGTATATTCATAGTGTTTAAATTATCTGAAAGCAATTGTTTCAATTCTATATAGTATTTGGGTGGGATAATTTCTGCATTTTTCAAGGCAGCTTCAACGACAAAAATCTCATTTGGAAAAAAATTCTGTCAATAAATATTTCTAAATTTATAATTAAATGTCAGTCCTTCATAATAATTATTTACTGCATAAATATCATAGGGTGAAGCTTACCTCAATATAGCACGGGACATCATTGAATTAGACGTAAGCATGATAAAAACGCTTCACGTTTGTATTTTCCGAGTGCGAGAAATCAATTGTGACGTCACACAAAAACATAAACATTCAAAATTATCTAAATAGAGAGAATCTCTGCTACTAAACACGAAAAAGTATTCATTAAAAAAAATCTGCTTTAGAAATTTATCACAATACATTTACTGTGACCTGTTTATTATGAAATAAAACTGATCATGACTGGTGTGTGTACTTGATCTCGCTGCACTAAGAATTCAAACACTACGTCTATGACGTCACTGACGTCAGACTGCAGGTAAAGAGAAACAAATACGTGGATTGGGCAACTTCACTTTATCCAAATGATGGCAAGATCTTTAAAAAAATTATTAAGTATAATTTCTAAAATTAAATGTTTAAAAACAATTTAATAATTTAGAATAAAATTACACAAGAACTGTTGATTTTAACGACGTTAATATGTATATCATCACCGATTATGACGTAATATGTCTTTATAGTCATGTGACATGTTCCCTGTCTCCCCTTAAGTATTTTTTCTTTGTAAAGGAAGCTGTGGGTAAAATTTAGCAAACAAGTAAAAGAATAAAGATGCATTTGTAAAGACGAGGCATAATAAATTACGTCGATGGGATTGCATAAAGAATATCAACCCGTACTTAAACACTAATGAGTTCTTATTGTGACTGATAGGGATCCTTGCTTCTCATTGGCACCTGATCCCACATCTGATGTTTTCGTGGTCCTTGTTTTCTACAGTACATCCCTATTATGTTATGTTTATGGACGTTACAGCTCGAATACTGTTCGTTATCTCCACATACTTTATAAAATCAAAACAAAAGTATTTATTATTGTTAGAAACCTTGCAATTTAATGAAAAAAAAATTAAATGACATATTCATTTGATACTTTGCAGTACGAAACACATACGTAATCTATTTTTATACATTTCTTATAAAACACATAAAAACAAAACAAGCAATTTTAATGTCAATGGTCTTTAATAAAAAAATATAAACTAACAAAATACATTTACTTACATGCATGTAATTATGACTTATTTTTAAATTCAAATTGTGCTAATGAATATTATTGACAATTAGTATCAAAATAAAAATTGAGCTACTGTAAGCACTGAGCTCACTAAATGATACCCTGCCTCCCATACCTTTATAATGGCAAAGTCTATGTTTTGCTCTGAAAAATCTGAAATAAGGTTCATATCAAACTGTAAAAAGAGGTACAAATTGGCATTATGTGACAAAAAAATTGCGAAAGTACCATTGAATTTTATTCAGAGATATTCCAGAGTTATTCAGGACTTCCAGATAAGAGATTGGTACCCTTCATTATTATAGAAAAAATGGCAGGTCAATGTTTCGCTTTTTGAAACCCAAAATATGTGTCCCATCCAAAAAGGAGGTGCACAGTTGCACTTTGTAACGAACATATTTTGAAAGTTTCAGTAATTTTCATTCAGTGGTACAGGAGTTGCGGATAAGAGCGTAACAAACAGATGAACATAGAGACAGAGAGAAGGACGGACAGACACCCCGATCACTATGTACCCTCCCACTTTAAAAGCCGGATGTATACAAATTTTGAAGACATTGACGTGTTAAAGATAATAGATGCAAGGGTTTTTTTTTTTAATTTTTGTATCAACATACATGTGTATACTTTCAGAAATTTAGTAATTTTTTTTTACTTTGTGTTCCTTTTGCAAAACTTCAATTGTCAAAATTTTCGTTTCTATTTTCGTTTAAGTACCTCTGATTTGAGTGTTTTTTTTATTGTTATAACGGAAAAGATGGAAAGCAGTGATTCAAAAACCTAAACATGTCTTTAAATAGCTTATTTCGAATAAATTGAAACGGCTTTTATATACAAACAGATACAACTGACAAAATTGATGTACAATATGAACAGAAATTTGAATAAAGTATAAATATTTAAGGAAAACTACTGAAAATAATAACACTATTCAATAAAATTAATAAATTAAAAAATAGGTCTTAAAGCAATACAAATATTAAGTCACTAAAACTATATATTTCTCTTAAAAATAAATTGAACAAAATGAAATTTATATTTAAATTTATAGAAATAGTCTTCATAATATGATCTTATATTTTCTTGAGAAATGTTTAAGTGTAATAAACATTTCTTTAAGGTAGTACAAAACATCCATGAAATCTGCTTTAAATCATTACAAAGTCAAAAGAAACATTTTAATTCTCAAAGAAAATTAGAAAAATACATATCTTTGCTTCAGATTTCACTTTGACTTTCAAGAATGAAGTAGTTGTCATTATTCGCCTCTTCCGTCTGAGCATACACATCGTCCTCAGGTAAGACAACTCCTTCATTACTTCGTCCTGCGTTTAAATGGCTGTAATCGTCCTCCGTAGTCTGACCAGAGGAACAAGAAGCATGGTTGTATACGTTCTCCGTTTCCTCGTCCTCTTTTTCGTGGAGATGGTTGTAGACATCATCTTTTTCCATCTGTGCCGTTTTAGCCTCTTTAACGTTACTGTACGTTGGAGATTCCATTGACGGAGAGTAGGGTGGAACATTAACGACTTTTCGCTACAAAATAAATGTTTTCTTGGCATGCATCATTATGAGGACATGTATTTATATGTTTAGAAACTGGCAATAAACTTGCATTTAAAATGATTATCACTGTTTCAAATTTCTTTTGTCAAATTGACATCATGTAGTCACTTCAAGGAAAATTCAAATGTGAATGCCTAATCTTGTGACGTTCAATAAAAAATACTTCTATGAAGCCACTAGACGACTTATGATGAATTGTAAAGAAGAAAAGCAAACGAATCAAATTTTCAAACGTTATTTCAATTAAAGTGTACAATATTTTTTTAACAACTCCAACAGCAGGAAAAAGTTCAGCAAACCACGATATCGTCTAAAGCACAATTTTGCAAGTCAGGACTTTCAAAATATATGTTTCTTTATTTTTCAAAAGCTGACCTTAAATTTGTTAACACAAGCTTTGATAGTTTATGAATAGAAGCATGCAAATGAAAGGGATAAATACTAAAATAAAACTCTCGTCATGTTAAGAACACGAATAAGAAAAACAAAATGACCAAGGTTTTTGGACTTTCCAGTCCTAAGAGACATTAACAGTTTATTTTAATATTTTGATTAAATGGATCGTCAAAAACTTTATTTTTATTGATCACAAACTATAACATCACATGTAGAATCATCAAAATGTGTTTCATATAATACGATAAATTTCACATTTTAAATAAGTTATACGATTTTCATGTGCTCATGTTTTCCCCTTGCAAGTAATCCTAAAATAACAGAATTGTTCATGTAAATTACAATTCCCTATGAAATTCAATATAAATACATACCTGATAATTCTGTTCCGTAATATTTGCTGATTGACTCTGGTTGTTTTCAGATATTGGTGCAATGTGGGTACTTCGTCTGTCAAATTTTATACTTATCTCGTCACTGTTTGGTATAACAATTAAAAAAAATTAATAAGTAAAAATTATTATTTTAATAATAAATAAAAAAAATTATTTTAATAATAGAATAAAAAATTTATTTAACACTGTTTTCAACTGTATGATTTAGGCCATTCCAAGTTTTTTTTCTGTGTTTAGCGTCCACGTGCGCCTTGGTTTTTGACACCCAATATCAGAAAAAAAAACCAAAAAAGAAGACCTGTTATTGATTATTCTGGTCGAAATCTTTGAATTATATTATGTCCTGTTATTATTTTTCTACAATTTAACATATTTGGTATATTTTGAGTACTTTTTTTTGTAGTACATGGATTTTGCTAAAGTATAGATCTAGAAAAGAGAAAAAATATCTTTTGAAATCAAAGCCTTTGAAAGACTTTCTTTTATGAATATAAAGTATGTGTTTTCTTTTATGGTCTGTTTGTTTTTTGCAAATAGGTAGGTAGGTTTTTGAAAGATGGGTGGACGCTAAACATAGAAAACACTTTGAATGGCCTTAAAGATATTTAAATACTTAGTGTGCATTTGAGGACCACTTTTAATACAAATGTTGCCTTACAAATCGAACGGAACAGTGTTGCTTGTGAAGGTTATTGATGTCTCAAATTTCTATTCTGCATTAACTGGATTATACTTTCCATATTTTTATTTATACACAACGCAGTTTCTCCCTTTTTTAGTATTGATCGTAAAGTTTGGTTCAAAGTAAATACAAAGCCTCGCATAAAATATTCGTCGAAATGCCAGAAATGATCATATGTAATGTTTTCCTAATTGAAGGAAGGATATGGAAATAACGAACAGTATCCAAACTCAACGTCCATTAAACAATATACAAAATAAGAGCAGAGCAAAAACGGACCTCCAAAACATCAGAAGTGGGATCAGGTGCCATGGAGGAGTGAGCATCCCTGCCGACTGGTCACACCCGCCGTTTCCTCGCTATCATGATCAGGAAATAACGGAAAAAATCCGTCGTCAATTCAGTGTATAAATAATGGACTAACAATTGGTATGAAAAACGTCAGTCAGCATTTGACTCAATGATATATTGTATTTGCTGACAAGGTCATTGTATCGACCATAGAATTTACGAAATGATGACTTTAAACGAGACTATTGATCCCTAACAAAAAACTACTATAGTTAACTAAAGTTTACTATAGTTAACAATAGTTGACTATAGTTAACTATAGTAAATCAAAGTGTCAAAGTTTTCGTCAAAGTTTTTCAAAGTGTCAAAGTTTTCGCCAAAGTTTTTCAAAGTGTCAAAGTTTTTGCCAAAGTTTTTCAAAGTGTCAAAGTTTTCGCCAAAGTTTTTCAAAGTGTCAAAGTTTTTGCCAAAGTTTTTCAAAGTATCAAAGTTTTCGCCAAAGTTTTTCAAAGTGTCAAAGTTTTCGCCAAAGTTTTTCAAAGTGTCAAAAATTTTCGATAAACTTTTTCAAAGTGTCAAAGTTTACGCCAATGTTTTTCAGAGTGTCAAAGTTTTCGCCAAAGTTTTTTAAAGTGTCAAAGTTTTTGTCAAAGTTTTTGTCAAAGTTTTTTTAAAGTGTCAAAGTTTTCGCCAAAGTTTTTCAAAGTGTCAAAGTTTTCGTCAAAGTTTATCAAAGTGTCAAAGTTTTCGATAAAGTTTTTCAAAGTGTCAAAGTTATCACTATAGTAAATCAAAGTTTTCAAAGTGTCAAAGTTATAACTATAGTAAACTATAGTTAACTATAGTATTTTTTTGTTAGGGATATTCTTGTTTCATTAACTTGCTTGTCAATAATTTACCTCGTTTAAGAAATTGTTCATACGTAGAGCATGCTCTATGAAGTAGCTCAATATGGAAGAAGAACAGAAATAAATTTATAATTAAGGACGGGAAATTCTAAAATTATAATCATTTTTCTTTTACAAAATCGTTTTATTGCAATTTTGTTCGTAACGTTATGATTTTATGTGACTTTTAACAACATATTGCAAATATTATTAAGATAAAGGCCAAAACCGATGTATTACTTCAAATAATTTGGTTGAATTCGCAATGAAGAATTTTGAAAATATGAACAAAATCCATTGCGAACAACCTGTCTATAAAATTTGATTACTGACCAAATAAGATTTAAATATCAGCAAAATCAGGGTTACAAAAGAAAAATGAGGTTATAAATAATTATTCATATTTTTATAAAACGAGGATTAAAATGGATAAGAATTGAAGAATTATCACCGAGCAAAATTAACATTGCATTAATATAACTTTTTAATATTTTATACCAAATTCGGACGTTTATCTGTTAAATTCTTTATCTGTTATTAATATGTGCTTATTTGTAGTAAATTGTGTCTTATTTATCTCATTCCATTTGAATAGGATTAAGACATTCCAGTTGACACTCCGTGACTCTGTCAAAATAACTGTTGCTCGTTAGGTGTTAATGCCTCGGGATTCGTTAATCCTTTACCAATAACTTTATTTGTACAATTTCTTTATATTAACCTCTTTCATGACCATTTAATTAAAGAAACACACCAGTCCATCAATTAACGCAACTAGTGTCAAAAGTCAATTATTGTTTTATCTTAATCTTACAAATATCTATGTCCATTATAATCTCGTCAGTTTGGAGACCCGACGCTCTACCGGCCATATCCAACTCGATTATGTTTTGTGAGATATTGTTAAAATTCATGTTTGTTATTCTCCATCGTCTTTAATAAATAAGGAAACCTGATTTACCAATTCTTTGAATTTATTTTGGAAGACTATAAGGAATACGGCATCTTTACTCTTTACGTTTCATTACAGCCCATTAGCGCCACTACTTTGTTAGACCCGCCAACATTCCTTCTTCCCCGTTAACACAAAACAATGGAGAATTAGCAGAGGAAATTAGGACTGGAATTATTAAAACGTTTATGATTCAAACTTATATTGTTTATTAATATTCAGGGAAACTATTCCATTATATAAAATTTCTTTATTCAAAAATTTATCTCACATTGTATACCTTGATAATAAAAAATATAAGTTAAATGTAAAAATTGTTATGGTATAATCCAACAAATGCTCAGGGGCCATAAGCATGCATGCATTGTCTTTGTTATTTAAAATTAAATAAAAACTCTACAATTTTAGATGTCGATGTGAATTATCAAAATATATTTTATCGCCTGCGTATGCGTCATCTAAAATAGCCAATATAAATGATCATTATAACTTAATGTAAAAAAGGAGCAGACTTACCGTTTTTGCATGTTGGAGATATATCTTTTGGATATTAAGTATGCAATGAGGGCACTTAATACTACCCCTAGAAAGAAGCTTCCAAAAATAGCTCCTATTGTAGCTCCTAAACCATTTGCTACGAATTTGAAAATATAAACTGTCAAATTTTCGAGAAGCACTATCCCTTCCTCGAGACAAAGAAAAGAATGTGAAGAAGTCTTAAAAACAGAGGAAACAGAAAAACAAACAAAACAAAACAAAAACAACAAGAACTTCTGTTAAATTTCCAAACACTACGTATTTAGAATTTTAAATGTTCAGTTTGAAGTTTATAATCAGTTTTAAGAGAGAATTCTGGACCGCTTTGAAAAAAAGTCTGATGTGTCAATGTACTCTTAGTCGGTTCTCCTATAAGGTTAACAATTGATATCTATATAAGCACCATAATTAATTAACTAAAATTACGATAAGTTGGAATTGTCAAATTCTGGATTTTTCGGATCATATCCCCGTACCTACATACACACAAGTGAAAGACTTTAAGAAATTAAAATTACAACTGCAAAATAAATTTTAGCACTACAACTAATTAAACAGCAAAACGTTATTAGTTGCAACACTGTAAATATGTAGTGTTTGAAAATTGATCTGAGTCATTCATTACCTTGAACCATTAATGTTCGTTTAAATTAAGCTGTTGATCAAAGTTGGAAAGCAGAAAGGATCTAAATCATCTTTTATATATATATATATATATATATATATATATATATATATATATATATATAGATATAGATATAGATA